TGTTAAAGTATTACGATCGTGTTTATAATTTTTTGTTATTACATCTTGAAGAATTCAGCCTAAATCCCAAATCTAAAATTTTTTTAAAACTGTTTTCTTTATTTATGTAGTAAATCAAATAATTTTTTTTACTTTATTTATGTAGTAAATAAGATTGTTTTCCATTTGTGTCGTATATCAAATAATTTTTTTTTCTTTATTTATGTAGTAATTTAAATAAAATTGTTTTCTATATTTATGTAGTAATTTAAATAAAATTGTTTTATTTAATTTATATTTATTTATTAATAAATTTTATTTGTTTATGTAGTAGATAATGATTTTGTAAGAGAATTTCAAGAGAATCTCTTGATAAGGTAACTAATTCTCTAAAATCTAAAACTACATAAACAAAGAAAACAATTTAATTTTTAAAATTATTCAGTAATTTGTTACGTCTGTCTGGCACTTAATTTACAACTATTATTTGTGTTTTGTCGTCTAAAGTATAATAAACATTTGTCATTCCGCAAATTCCGAATCATATGTGTATCAAAACAAACAAAATGGCGCATCAGATATTTGCAAAAATAGATAAAATGCTCATTATGGCAATAAATATAATAAATAAATAAATTAAGAAATGATACGTATTGTCAATCTTAATATTGTATATTTTCATATTGTTATTATTTTATTTCCACTGTAAGTAAACTTTCATATAATACTTTTCTTTTTTTGAAAATTTATTTGTTTAGTTCTAAACGCAAAGGAGAAAAGTATTGTTATTGCGATTTAAAGTAAGCTACAAAATTAAAATTGAAAAGAATAATCTAATATTTAAATGTATACATATCTTTTTTTTTCTTTATTTCGACGATCCGATCTTTTTTTTTGGTATAAAAAGATTAACGTTAGTTCAAGCCTTTAAGTTTTAAGTTAGAGTAATAAACATGTTTTTGCTTTGTGCAGAGGCTCTGCAATTACTCCTAAATCTACGCCAGACAATGAATTTCTGTGTTTTTTCACCTAAAAGCAAAAACTTCCTGTGTATCCTATGTGACATAGTATGTATGTGTTCATTTGAATATATTGCTATGTATATATGTATACTCTATGTATGGATATTTTTTTTAAAAAGATTTATTCAAAAGCAGTTGTTTTCTTTGTTTTTAAGTATTACTTAAAACCATGTTTTTAAACTGCAGCAAACTGTTTTTTTTAGCTACGTCATTTTTGTGATAAAAAGATCAAGAAAAGTTCTGTTTTTTTGTTTTTGTGGTTTTTACTTGTTTTTTTTTTTTATTAATCTCTGTGATTTAAAGAGATATGAATAATTGGTTATTGAACATTATCACTTGATAACAATATTCCCATTTACAGTATTTACCTTGTTTTTGAAAAAGCTCTTGACAACAACTTTCTTATCTTGAAACTTGAAGCTTGCTGTATAAATGAACCATTACTTTGTTGGATAAAAACTTTCTGGAAAACTGCAGATAAAGATTTATTGTAAATGGCACTTACTCAAACTGGGTTTCGATTGAAAGTGAGATTCCCCAAGGCTCCGTCCTTTCTGTGTTACATTTCATAATTTATGTCAACGATATCCCTGAAGTAATTAACTCAAAAGCAGCACTTTTTCTAATGATACCAAAATCTTTTGTTCTCTTAAAATATATATATATATATATATATATATATATATATATATACATATATATATATATATATATATATATATATATATATATATATATATATATATATATATATATATATATATATATATATATATATATATATAACTTGATTTTTGTGTTATTATTTGTGTTTTATTTTATACACCATGACCCTAAAGTCTATTAAGTTAAATCCGTTTCAATATTTATTTCACCAAATTTGTTTACATCCACTTCTGAAACAACAAGCCTATCCAATTTGTTAGCATGAAATAAATGAAGCTGAACAAGTTAAAAGAAAACATTACTTTTTAACCTAATCAATTAACAAAAGAAGAGTTGTTAAATGTGTTGAGCAAAAAAACAATTAAATTACTTTGGCACAAACTTAAGACGTCAAATATAAAACAGCATACAATTGGGTTCTGGGCAGAAATTCAAATTTCATCCAAAAAGTTAGTTTTAAGCTAAAAAATTGATTGAAGATCAAATCAAAAAAATGTTAACATGCTTTGAAAGTGACTGTCAATTGATATTGGCTTATATCAATTGTCTTAACAAAGATTTTAGGACAATTGATATTAGTATCAGCACAACAACAATCACCTTTTATCTCAAAGGTAGATTGTTTTTGTTAAAAAACAATCTACCTTTGAGTTAAAAAAAAAACAAGAGCTGAAAATGTTAGGAACATCAGTTATTGTTACTGCGGCAAAAAATACAATAATAGGAAATGGTTGTGTACATAGTGAAAAACATAGGACCACGCATTACACAACAAGTTTAAATAATTTGCAATAATTTTTTATGACATTGTTTAAATTTAATTCCAGTTACCACCACATTGCAAAAGGTCTTTTTCATGGCTTTTTTTATTTTGTTGATAATATATTTTTATTTGTTGAAAACAGAACCATTTGAACAGATCCAGCCTTAGATTAAAAATTAAATTAAATTAAATTAAAAATTAAAATAAAATTAAATTAAATTAAAAATCAAAATAAAAAATTAGAAAATCTGAGTATCAACCTTTTTTATTTATTACTTTTCTAGTTGCAACTTTCATATTCTCATTTACATCTTAATTACATTTCTTAATTACAACTTTTTTTTTTTATTACAAACCTTTTCTAGTTACAGCTTTCATATTCTCATTTACATCTTAATTACATTTCTTAATTACAACTTTTTTTTTATTACTACAGTTACTACAATTACATCTTATGTTTATTAGTTGCAACTTTTATGTCAGGGTTGCCATCTGGTGTTTTTTAAAGCCAAATTTATCAAAATTGGTTTGTTTTTTTATTGTTTGGCTTGAAATAATGGATCAGTTTAGTCTAGTTTTTATTTCATGAAAAAAGTTAATTTAAGGAGAAAGAAAGATTTCCATTTTTTTATTTTATACAAGAACAATCAAGTTTAAAACAAATGAAAGAAATGCTTACATTAAAATCTTAAAATGTTAAAATCTTTTACTTGTAAAGTCATTAAAATATTGTTTTTATCCCTTAATTGCCAAAAATATTAGAAAACTCTTACATTCAAAATGACATTTATTGAGAAATATCTGCCTGTAAAAAATGTTATTTCATAAGTTAAAAAAACTATTTCAAATATACTGTTATATATTATGGATGCAAAGAGTGAAGAAATTGAAAATCATTACAGAAATAGCCATTAATCATAAATTAATTGACATTGCACCATTAGAGCGAGTCTAAACACTTTTAAGAAAAATGAGTTTCTAAAAACACTGCTGAATTCTAAACTACTTCGTGAGACCATTTAGTAGTTTCCGGAGACCTAGACCTCTGCAACATAGATGCCTTGGCTGTCTATGTGTTCTGTTTCTAACTTTTTTGTTGAATCTTCTCACAGGTCATTTGCTTAAAAATCAGAGTAAGAAAGTATCAAATATGTAAGAAAGTATCCATATGCAAGCGAAACAACATATTTTACAGGTTCATAGTGTTTGATTTAGTATAGGTGTTTAAGAGTGAACTACTTTTCTTATGCCGCTTTAAAGGCTGGACTGGCAACCTGTAAAACATTGACTAACTCGTTCTTCTCCACCTCCCTTACTCTCTTACAAATTAAAAATTCAAAATATAAGTTATAAACAAGTTACAAACAAAAAATTATGATTTTTATCTTTTTTTTTTTGGTCTGGTTTGTTTCTGGTTTATTTTTATTTTATTTTTGGCTTGTGCCCGAAAAAAAAACCTGGCAACCCTGTTTCATGTTCTCAGTTATATCTTATGTTTATTAATTGCAACTTTCATGTTCTCATGTTTATTAATTGCAACTTTCATGTTTTCAACTACACCTCGAAAAGGTTTAAAATTTAAAAAGTTTGAAAATTTAACTTTACAAAGTGGATTCTCTTTTTGTAAATTTTAAAGCTTTTTCACAATTTTTCGCAATGTTTTCTATGCTTAGTTTTACAGTCTTATAAATAGTCTTATAATGCCTAGGTTCCTACACATAAGAGTTCATAAATTTTCTTATTTAAACATGATTGCAGTAAAAGTGTCAAGTACTCAGTCAGATCTCTAAAACAGTTTAATATTAAAAAGGTGGTCTAGTAGTAAAAAAAGTTCTTTAATTGTTCCATAATCTACTATCACAATAAATATTTTTTTTAACATATATTTCGATGTTCATATAATTAAAAAGAAATACAAACAAAAAAATTTTCAAATATAAAGAAATGTTTTTATAAAATAAAAAAAAGATTTATATAAACAGACATAGGCTTAATGAAGATATGGATGACCAGAGTCACCATAATCTTTTCATAGAACAATAAAAATTTATCATCCCTTAGTTTAATATCTACTCCTAACTATATGCAAAATTAGGTTTAGAGCATTTGTATCAAAGTTTTTTTTTCTCCCAGGTAAGTTGTCTTCACCATGGCAAAGGAGCCTTACTTGCCCCAAATTAATTAATTGAATTCTAATCATAATTAATATCTTTTATTAATCTTGAGTTTCTCTCAAAATTTTAGTTATGTTAGATTTTAATTCGTTAAAAATTAAGAACAAACACACACACACAAAATAAAGACTCAAACTTTTCATAATCTAAATGCTGCTTTTTATTGTTGTTTTTGATTACAGTAAGTCTGCTTTTTATGGTTGTTTTTGATTACAGTAAGTCCAGGTCACAAGGTTCAACATAATTTTTAATTTTAATAAACTGAATTAGTTTATGCATTATTAGTGTTATTTATATGTTTTTAGTTTTATTTATATGTTTTTTTTAATGTTATTTATAAAAAATGTTCTTTTCTTACAGTTTTTTCTATTTTTGAAATAAATGTTGTTGTTTTAGCACAACGTTATCTAGGCAATTTACTGAGGAGATATCATGAAGAAACCATAAATGACTACAAAATCCAAATGGTTATAAAATTTGCAATAATTACTCTGTTAATTATATCCTTATTTGTTAAAGGTTTTTTTGTTTTTTTACTTTGTTTTTCTTTGTTTTTCTATTATAATGTTTTTTTTTTCTTTATCTGAAAAAAAGTCTTGATTAAAGTTGGCATTGATGAAAAATTTAAAATTTATTTAAATTGGCTATACATAATTATTTTAATTAACCTATTTTAACTAAATATAAATTTTTGATGAAAGTTGTGTTCTTTTAAGAATCTGGTTATTTATGAGTACAAGTAAAATCTTTGATTTTGAAAACTTGTGATTCAGAATCCAATATTTGCAATAATTAGAATATAGTGTAATGGTGCATAAAAAAAATAGAAAAGTAATTATGAAATAATTTAAAGAAAGAGAGAGAAAAATAAAATACTATCATAGAAAAGACTTGGACTATTTTTATATCACATACAAAGTTTTTTTATTCCTAATGCTATAATTGTTTAAAATATTCATTAAAGTGAACCTTGCAACAATATATAATTATTAATCTGAGAGATTTCTTTTGTCTGTGTGTAAACTGAGAATGCACAAAATAACTTTACTTTAAACAGTTTTAAATTTATAAGGTAAAAAAATATAGATTTGCAAGTTTCTTTTATAAATTTAAACATTACAAACAAAACTGCACAAATTGATTTAAACATTTATCATCACTTATCAATTTAATTTCATTTTTTAAATTAGGTTTAAGACTTTGGTAGAAACAAAACAAAACAATTAAATAATTACATTTGTTCTAATATAGAGTAGATGTAACTAGATGTAATAGATTAGATATAACTAGTTACATCTACTCTTTATTAGAATATTGTGCTTACATAAGCAATAGTTATGTTATAAATTTAAGTAAAATGTTACTGTTTTTGTAGTTTTAAAAAATAATAAGTAAAAATAAGATGTATATCAAAAAAAGTTTAGAATATATTTTGATTCTAGTTCTTAATATTTATCTATTATTTATTATTTCATCTATTTATTTTTATTATTTATTATAGTTGCTGCATCCAATAAGCTGGTAGTGTTCTGGGGGCAGAACAATGGGGGTGCAGAGTATGAGCTAGAAAAGTATTGTGAATCAGATGCATTTGATTTAATCATTTTGGAATATGTTTCTTACTTTTTTTCTACTTTAAATAATGGTAGTTTATTTTTTTTTAATAATGGTTCTTTTATTTTTTTATTAATATAGTAAACATTTCATAGCAAAAAATTGATTGTAACTGTCGCTAAAAACGTTGTAACCAAATCTGTTGCATAGAGAGGTCCAAAATATGTAATAAAAGTTTTAATCTTAATTTGAGATTAAAAAAAGCTGCATAAATTATTTAAATAAAATACTCTTTAATTAGTGCAGCAAACAAATCTACTAATTGTTACAAATTACACAAAAACAGACACTTAAATATATATATATGTTTTATATATATATATATATATATATATATATATATATATATATATATATATATATATATATATATATATATATGGAAAAATATTCCATATTAATACTCAATATATATATATATATATATATATATATATATATATATATATATATATATATATATACATATATATATATATATATACATATATATATATATATATATATATATATATATATATATATATATATATATATATATATATATATATATGTGGAAAAATATTCCATATTAATACTCAATATATATATATATATATATATATATATATATATATATATATATATACATATATATATATATATATATATATATATATATATATATATATATACATATATATATATATATATATATACATATATATATATATATATATATATATATATATATATATATATATATATATATATATATATATATATATATATATATATATATATATATATATATATATATATATATATATATATATATATATATATATATATATATATATATATATATATATATATATATATATATATATATATATATATATATATATATGGAAATATGGAGCTTAAAAGACCAAAACATAAAGCCAAATATAAAATGGAAAATTGTCAAACGTTGCAAACCATACAATCTAGCAACAAAAATATGCCATCTTTGTCTCTAGGAAAAATATGTTATGTTATCACATAAAAAATTGTATCTGACATTTTTATTTTCTTTATTTGAGGAGACTAGTAACTATAGCAGCTTTTTGTTTTTTGTTTTTTGATTTGTTTTTTACGTAGATTTGTTTATAACCTCAAAAGTCATTCTTAAGTAATTTTTACATTTTTGTAATGTTTTGTTTACGTATATCGACAAAAAATTGCTGACTTGAGAGTTTTATATAATTTCAAATATATTAAAAAAAGGCAAAAGAAACTTGAATTCATGATAAAATATTATTGAAAATAGCAAAACAAATGTTTTATTTATATTCTAAATACAAACTTTTTAAGTAAACAAAACTTTTTAATTTCTAAACAAAATAGTTAACAAAATAGTTAATTCAAAATAAAAAAAAGCAAAACAAATGTTTCAATGCTGAACAAATTAGTTTCAAATCAACAAAGTAAACGTTTTTTTAAAACTCTAAATAAAATAATAAAAGTAAAAAACTAAATTTAGAGAAATGGAGAAAATAAATTAAATTAAAAAATAAATAAAATAAATGAAAAAAAAAGTTTTTTTTAACTTCCAATAAATAAAATAAAATGGCAAAACGAACATTCTATTTAAATTCCAAATATGAACCTATTATAATGGAGAACATGCATGAATTGCTGATACATCGACATATAATTTTTTTTTTTATAAACATCTTCACTTTCAACAAGTCTGCAAGCAACCACTGTTAGAGTTAAAAGTTATTGAAAGAGAAAAGATGGAGTTTATTGAGCAAGATAATGATTAACAGACAATTTAAAAGATTGCAAATTATACGAATCAGAAAAACAAAATGAAAGGCGCGAATTCTTATGAATTCCTATGTTCAAGGAAAAAAAGTAGATGAATAAGAATTTTTTATGCACTTAAGGAACAGTTACAGTCAAAAGATGGGACTTGAATGACAAGTAGCACAAGAATGAATTTTAGTAGATGGAGCAAGAGACGCTAACTCTTTAGAGCAGTGCCCATTATAGTATTTATAGAAAAGAGAAAGAGAAACAACATTATGATGATGTGATAATGGTTGGAGGTTGGCTGTAAGAGCAGGTCTAACTATGTTTACATTGCGTTTTTGCACCTTGTCTAGAAGAGAAAGTGTATCATTGGAAGATCCGCTCCAGATATGGAAACAGTATTCCATACATTGATGGATTTGAGATTTATAGACATAGAGAATAGAATCCTGAGAAAGAAAGTGGCGAGCATGATAATGAGATGCAACCTTAGCAGATGCTAATTTTGCAATCATTTTGATATATGGCTTCCAAGAAAGATCGGAAGTAAGAGTTAAATTTAGAAGACGAAGGGTAGATGACTCATCAATATAGGAAGATTTAGTTCATTTTTATTACCCTTCATAAATATAGAAAGATTTAGATCATTGCCATAACAATTAGCTAAAAAGAATTTAGTTTTATCTGAGTTAAAATTCACCAGCCACTAAGAGCCTCATGCTGTAGCAGAAGTGAGATCTTCTTCAAACTCAAATGTCTACCCCAAGCAATCAGAGATAAGAATAAATGGTAGTATTATCAGAGAACAATGCTACCTTAAATGTGAGTACAAGTACAAGGAAGGACTCAATAACCTTAAAGATGTTACCTGACACACCATAAGAATATAGCTTATGGAGAAGACTAGGCTGCCATAATTTATAAAAAGACTTTAGAAATGTTAAGAGTGATAGCCTAAACCTCTCCACATCTATCTAATGCACAGTAAAATTTATCAGTTATACACTAAATTATCATTAACAAATCAGAAGTAGAACAAGAAGATTTTGTGATTTTGTGAGATTTTGTGAGATTTTGTGGCCTGAGAATAGCGGGCTTTAGCATTAATTAAAATCTTTTTAAAATGGTTTCTAGCAATAGTAAATAGATGTCTGTTTTCTGGAGAATTGTTTTGGCGATAGTTACGGAAAGAATGGTTACATTTGAAAATTGCAGCAATGCAATGAGAGAAAAACCATAGAGAAGTGAGGCTTGACTTGGAATGGTTGAGAGGTATTTAAAGATTTCATGCCAGCATGAATTCAAGAAGTTACATAAGAACTACTATTGTCATTAGGAAGATGAAAGACTTTTACCCAAAGGGCCAAAGAAGATCATGGAAAAAGTCCCAGTCAGCTTTAAGGTAGTTCTAAAAGTTACGATGATAGGGGGATTCTGATGATGAAGATGAGATAAATGATGAAGACGAGATAAAAGTTTTAGAGAGATCAAACTTTGATCAGAAGCACCTTAGAGTAAATTTTGAGAAACTAAGCGCAGACTATGATCAGAAACAAGACATAAATCGAGTAGAGAAGATAAATGATTTGGATTGTCTGGAAAGCGAGTTGGAAAGTTGACCATTTGTGTTAAAGATTAAGAAAGGCAAAAGTTATGGACCTTAATGGCTGAAGAGTCACTGACACTAGAGCCAAGTCATTAAGTGTGATGCGCATTAAAATTACCAACAACAACGATATTGACTGAAGAATAAAGAGAGGCAGCTTGGTCAATTTGATCAGAAATAACATTGAAAAGAGTGTACTCTTGAGATGAATGAGGGCAATAAAGAACAAAGAGAAAGGTGATAGAGTGAAGTACTAAACCAATGCACATAAAAATAGTACTAAACGAAAACACGTAAAACAATAGTCTATGGGTTTAAACTTAGTTTCCTGACAAATGGGTGAATTTTTACGAATGTAAATGCCCAGGAAAAGCATGTGACTATTGGAGTCTTTATGAATTAAAGGAAGTTAACCATCAACACTAAGATTACAAGATGAGATAGATGACCTCAAATTAGTCTCACAAAAAGCAAGTAGGTCTATTGAGCTTTGCAAGAGATAAGAGACTTAACAGAAAAGTTACTTTGAAGTCCACAAATATTAATGAATGATAGGTTTAGAGAACATGGTGATAATGATGGTTTTTTGTGTTTTATAGTTTTTGAAACTTTAGTCATTATTTAAATTGGTTAAAGAACATGAAAAGCACAGATAGTACTCAAAGCACAGATAGCACTCAAGAAACTCGATTACTCAAAATTTGAAAAATTGCTCAAAGTTGTTGAGGATGATATTTTCACAGGAAAAAAAACAAAAATGGTTTCAAAGAAAACCTTAATATTTTCTCTGTCAAAATATTAAGGTTTTATATTCATATGTCAAAAATGTATTGTATTTTGGGAACAGATTGTTTGACCCACGAAGATCAGAATGAATTGATCATTAATGAAATTTCGCTTGACAAATTTAACAAATCCAAGAGATTTATAAATCAATTTGCTGGATTTTAAAATTTTGAGCGTTATCTTTGATTGCTCATTTGAAATTCAAAATCAAGAAAATCAAGGATATTTCTTGTTGATGCATCAAATTTAGTTAAAAAATCAATTGAAACTGTGTTGCATAATCTGAAATTTGATAAAGACAAATTGGAAGAATGAGGTGATAAAGTTGTGAGAAAAAAATACAATGCGAAGAGAAGAAAACTGAAAAAGAACATTTAGTGTTGATTCAGCAAAACAAAAACTGAAAAAAAAAATGAAAACAACAAAGTTTCAACCATAATATTACTTATTAACACAAAAGGTCCTAAATTGCAAATTAGTTATTATTTGTTTTTTAATAATAATAGATTCTAGAAAATAAATGTTTTTTTATATATCTTATCCACAAATAACATGAACTATACAATTGCATCTTTTTATTTTAAAATTTTTTTGGACAAAATAAAGTAGCACATGTGCAAAATAAAGTGAGATAAATAAAATGCTTTATTTCTTTACTTAATGCAAAAAAAAAGTTTGACTTTTATTTTAGAGTAAATCAGCGTCCTACGTTTTATTATGATATCTTAAAATCATTATGTTCATTATTACAAAGTAATGAGAAACAAAGAAATGTCAACAGGTGTTTGAATTTTGGAAAAAATAAAGTGATGTTGCCCTAATAGCAAAAACTCTTTACAAAATGTTTTTTGAGACTAATAATAATAATTAATAATTTTGATAAACTTCTTTATAATTCAAAAAATATTTATTCAATAACATTTGTAGGCATCTAAATTAGCTTATTTTGTAAAAAAAAGTCAGCTATAAATTTTTTTCTTTTCAAGGTTTTTAAAAGAATCGTTTAAAATATTCAGAATCCTTTATTTTTTAAACAAAGATATTATAGAAAACAAGATATTATTTTAACAAAAATGGATTGACTGTTATATATTTATTAAACAAAGATAAACAAGAAATTATTTTAACAAAAAAGGATTGAATAATATATACTTATTAAACAAAGAAAAATAAGAAATTATTTTAACAAAAAAGAATTGATTGTTATATATTTATTAAGTATATAATTATCTAACTGTTGAAAGTTACATAAAAAAGTTTTTTCTTTCATTTTGTTTGGCAATAAATTTAATGGTATTGTTTTCAAAGTATTGTTAAAAAATCTTATATGCTTTTTAAACAATACTTATTTTATGACATGTGTTTAAATTATATACTACACATTTGTGTTGTTTATTAAATGCATTTGTGTTGTTTATTAAATACAATGTGCAGGAGTGTCTGCATGCAATCTCATTGCATACCATTCCCAACAATGTCTGATCACATGTGTGTGTGTGTGTGTGTGTGTGTGTGTGTGTGTGTGTGTGTGTGTGTGTGTGTGTGTGTGTGTGTGTGTGTGTGTATATATATATATATATATATATATATATATATATATATTTATATATTTATGTAGTCAGGCGTTGTTGGCAATGGTATAAAATGACATTGCATGCAGACACTTTTGTATAAGTTGGATGAGATTGAGCAGGTAAAACCATGAAGTAGGTTGGTAACTAAATCTTTTAGAAATTGTTATCAGTTGTTGAAATTCACTCATGATGTAGTTGTTAGTTAAATTATTCACCTTTTTTTAATGTTCTCTCAAATTTTTTATTCCTTATGCTATTTCTAAGTTACTGAAGTCTTTTTTTATACCTATTTATTTATTATCACCTTTTTATTTGCCACTTTGTTGTTTGGCTAACTGCTTTTCAAGCCATTTTTATTTTAATTTTTAGATCAAATATTTAAAAAGTCTTTCAATGCAATTAAGTGGTCATCATAAACACTTTTATGCAATCTTTTATTGGAAATTGTCAAATTAACAGTTTTTGTTTTTTAAAAATAAACATAAGTAAAAAACTAACATATAATATAATAAAAAAGAGAAGAAAAGTAGAAAGGAAATTAACTTTAAAATTTGTGCACTTTTTAAATTTATTTTTGCAACACTTTCCCATATGTTTTTTATTTATGTTTAATAAAATTAAATTGAAAAAAAGTAACATAAAGATGAACATAAACTTATTGTTGACATACTAGTAGAGTTGCACAAAAAAAATGAAAAAACAAGAACTAATGTTTATATGCAGATTTTTTATTTCTTTTTGAATAATGAAAGTTTATATTTTTTTATTATACTTAATTTAATTTAAATATTGTTTATATTTCAAAAACTAAATTTTTAGACAATTATCCTGAAGTAAACTTTACTATACATTGTGATGGACCGTCATCTCCAAACTATCCAATAAAATGTCCATCAATAGAAAAAGGCATAAAGTTATGCCAAATGAGGAAAAAACAAGTCTTGATATCTCTTCTTGGTTCCAGTGGAAAAACAATCACTAGTTATCAACAGGGCAAAATCTTAGCACAGAGAATTTGGGAGATGTTTCTTGGTGGAAACGCCAACCTTGGACCTCGTCCTTTTGGAGTGTTAGTATTTTAAAATTTTTTGTTTGAATATTTCATTACTAGTTCTGTTCTGTATCTTGCAAACATCTAGTGCAAAACAATTCCACAAGGATATTGTTTATTTTTAAATAATGGAAATTGTTGAATGTGACTGCTGTCAGTTTTGTCTTGGTATTGTTCTATTCAATCTAAAAATGCTGATTCTACTTCTACCCACCCCAAGTGCGCATAAATGGAGTTTGTGTGCACTTGGGTTTTTACTTGTATATGCAGCCCTTTAGTAACTCCTAAATTTTATGTTGAGAAAAATCAGGACATTAGGAATCTTGGAATCTGATATTTTTGAAACTAGAGACTGCAGTCACTTGCTGCAATTATAAATAATGATATTTTCTCAAAGTCTGTTAAACTTTTTAGTACAGGGAATAAAAAATCCCTTTACTTTTTATTTTCTTATGAGTTTTGTAGTTAATAATGATGATGATGATGATGATGATGATGATGATGATGATCATGATTATCATGATTATCATCATCATCATTTTTAGTATTTTGCATAAATTGTTGCTAACATTTTAAAGCAATGACATAGCCTTGATTGTGTTTAATGCCAAGCTATTATCTAACAATTTTTATTAAAACAACTGTTTTTATGATTAACTTGTGACGCTTTACAAATTAAAAATTATTATAAGTTTTACACAAATCAGCTGTGTAATTTTATATAAAACAGCTGTGTACTGCTAAGAAAGTTTGTTACATAATCATTTGTTTACTATTATTATTTTAATGCAAGGAGTGAACCTCCTGGAATAGAACATAAGTACCTGTTTTGCTATAAGCAGATCATGGACCAGTCATTGTCAATTATTATAACTTAGTTTGGTTATTCTTTCAACCGAAGCTGTTGTTAAAACTTTCAAAGATCTTCTGAAACACTACTAGTGATTAAAAACTCTGTTAGTGAAAGAGTTGTGTCGAATAGTTTTTTACAATTTTGTGATGTAGGCCTTTACAATGTTTCTATTTTCAAATTTAATTTAAAAATTAGCCTTTTTTTTTTATTTTCCTTTCTCATTGTCTTTTTTTTTATACTAACTTTTTTTATACTGTTTGTATATTTTTAAAAAAATGGTCATTGTAAACCTAAATTAGTTTTTGCTTTTACAAAAAAATTGCTTGTAATGTAATTAAATAGAGTTTTTATTTTAGCAATAAGTTATTTTTTATTTGTTATTCACTAACTTTATTATATTAAACTTAAATATATTAAAATCATTATTAGTTAAAGATTATTAACCGTAATTACAAATTTAAAAAATAATAATAAAAAAAGTTAACATATTATATTGTACACAAATGTTGAAAAAAGAAAATAGTTTATATTAAATATTAAAAAAGTATTGTATTGAATTTAGTTACTTAATATTATGTTTTTGTTGAGTTAATTTTTTATTTTTTTAATTGTTTTGCAGTTTAATTGTAGTAGTTTAAAAAATTTCCTTTAAAAAATAATAAATAGAATTGTATTTTGTCATTAAATTCACATTAAGCTATACTAAAGCTTTTTTTATTTTTGTAGTATGTATGTAGTTGGATCTAGCTACATGTTTTGAAACTCTCATTTTCTATATTGAAACTATATATTGTATAAGTTGCATCTTTTTCACTTTTCTACAAATACTAACATGGTTGCTGCTCAATATAAATGCTTCTGATGAACCTACAGAATGTAAGTTCATCAGGAAATTAAAAAAAAAAAAAGTCCTTGATTGAATTATTAGACTACTTTATAAATTTTCTAGAATTTCGACTATTTAATGGTTTAGGTGCCACTTAATTTGGCTTGCAATGCCTTTATTTGCTGATTTGTGTTTTTTGGTTTATAACTTAACACTTTCAGGCTATCAGTAATATAAATTTATATTCAGGATGCCAACAATTTCAGGGGACAAACGGCATCTGTTTGATTCATGGCATTTGTGTTTTGTCATTTGTGCTGTTTTAGTATGTTTACTTTCTTACTATGTTTTCTTTAAGTGGTGTAATATTTTTTGTTAACTATTGTGATTTAATAACAATAGTTTTATACTATAATATCCTTTGAACCATTTTTAAACAATATTTATGCATTTTGTATACTTTGTTTAAATATTTTCTATACAAAATAATTTTTATCTGTTTCAAAATAATTTTAATAAAAAAATTGTCTAAAAGTTTTAAATAACAAAATGGGAAAAAAAGAAGACATCAGTTCTGAAGAAAAATCAGTTATTCATTATCTTCTGAAAGATAAACATTACTCAATAAGTGAAATATCTAGAAAATGTGAAATATCAAGACGCACTGTAAACATAATCACAAAGTAAAAAATGGTCTCTGAAAAGTGAGAAAAAAGTGCCTGGATTGAGCGAAGAAACAGTACTTTCACTGTTGATAACTGGAAATCGGAAATTCATTATGATACAAAATTAAATTTTTTTTCTAATATTCTAGTATTTGTATTTTGTTTTTATTCTGTTTTCTCCAGGTATGCTTCAGCAATGAGTCTACCATTATGATTAATACAGTTTATGACTCAAAAGGTTCATTATGTGAATAATTTTTGAATGAAAAATTCCATGAATATTGTATAATTCAGACAGTTAGACATCCTCCTAATGTCATATTTTGGTCGGTAATTAGTGTTAAAGGCCTTGGTCAACTGTACATTGTTGATGGAATATTAAAACAGGACCAAAAAAGTCATTAAAATCTTTACTTGATTTACCTCAATTAAAGAAATGGTTCTGCATGCTTGAAGTGCAAACATGCAGAAGAAAATATTTGTGCAAGATGAAGCCCCATCCCACACTGCAAAATCCATTAAAAAGTTATTGACAACTGAAATTTCCACCTTTAGATTGGCCAGAGAATTCCCCAGATTTTAACCCCATAGAAAATGTAAAGGAACTGATACAGAGAGAAATATTGCTAGAAATAATCGCAATTAAGACCCAGTTGATTGAAAAAATTATTTAACATTGAAACCATAATTTACATTTGAAAGAAGCGGCTTTAAATTGCATTTATAGCATGCTAAGTTGTCTTCATGCACAAAAAATTCATGTTAATAAACATATTCTTATTGTTATTTTATTATTTATTTATATAATTATATTATTTTATTTCTGTTAGAAAATAGTTATACTTCATTTATATATAAAATTTTTATTTTTATTTTTATAAAAAGATTTTTACCTCTAATAAAACAAAAAATACAAAAAATATCAATATAATTTGATTGGGGACTTAAAAGTGGTTGTTTATTAATAATTTAAAAGTTGTATTTTTTTAGAGCTATTTTGGATGGTGTTAACCTAGATATAAAAGGTGGAATGGGTATTGGTTATCCAGAATTTGTTAATCAAATACGTTATTTAATGAACTCTGATGCTTCTCGAAACTATATTATTTCTGCAAGTCCTCAATGCATTTTTCCCGATGTTTTAATGCACAGTACCTTTTTATTGCAAGGTCACAAAATAAATGAAGTTTACATACAATATTACAATGCTTATTGTTATATTGGTAGTCCATTTTTTGAAAGAAATACTTACAAATGGTTTGACCTAGCAGCAAATATAGAAGAACGATACCCTGGACAATCACCAGCACTGTTTGTTGGTCTTATTGCTAGCAAAAGGAAACAGCATTATCAAGAAATTGAAAAAGTTGCATCAATTTATGATGTAATTTTTTGTTATAAATTTTTTTCTAGTGTAGAAAAACAGCAGGACAAAAAAACATAATTAGGAATTTGAAGTTATGTCTAACAAATAATTCAGAATTAATGTATCTAATATCACATAATAGTCTCTTTAGTTTCAATAATTAGTTACTAATTACTCAGTTCAAGGCATAGTGTTTATTAATTAAGCATCATATTCTTAGTAGTACTGCACTTGTTAATGTTTAAATATTTTAATTTTTTTCCTAGCGTTTAAAGACTTTTCCTAATTTTGGGGGTTTTATGTTATATGATGCTGGCTTAGATGGACAAAATATAATTGGTGGGATTAAATACAGTGATCATATTAAGAAGATTCTTCATTCAGGCTACTCGCCACCTGTCTCAATTGCTGCAAATATTGTGCATGTGGTGCAAGAAATAAATAATGTTGTGGAAATGCCAAAACCAACACAAACTACACCTGCAGTTACAAATCCAACAAAGACTGAAGAAATTGTTAAAGTAACTGAAGTACCATTAACAACAATATCTACAACTGCAGAAACCACTACAACAGAAGCCACTACAACAGATACGACTACAACAGATATGACGACAACAGAAACAACTACAGAAGCTCTCTTAACAGAAATACCCACAACTGAAACAACAACTACAGAAGCCATTACATCCACATCTACCATGACCACTGCATCAACAACCACTCAATCTACCACAACTGTATTATCAAACCTATTGGCTGTAAAATCCCAGAAAACGTCACAAACCGAAGAACGAAGTAAGCTATTAAAACAAATATTTGAATGTAAAAATTTTATAATATAAAAATAAGTTTTAATAAGTTGAATCTATTATAATTTTTTATTTTTATTTAAAATTACAAATTTAATGTATATATATATATATATATATTATATATATATATATATATATATATATATATGTGTATATATATATATGCATATATATATATACATACATATATGTGTATATATATATATATATATATATATATATATATATATATATATATATATATATATATATATATGTATATGTATATATATATATATATATATATATATGTATATGTATATATATATATATATACACATATATTTATACATATATATATATATATATATATATATATATATATATATATATATATATATATATATATATATATATATATATATACATATATATATATATATATATATATATATATATATATATATATATATATAATATTTATATATATATATATATATATATATATATATATATATATATATATATATATATATATATATATATATAATATATATATATATATATATATATATATATATATATATATATATATATATATATATATGCTTTAAATAAAATAAAAAATTAATTATAGTGGTTGTTTATAATAAACACATTTTCTGTATTTTTACTGTTAATGTTATATTAAATTTTTTTTATGAAGCCATGTATTTTATATGATAAATTTAAATGTTTGAAAATATTCCTTAAAACTATTCCATGTCTTTCTAAAAATCTTTTGAAAGGTAATAAGTTACTTTGAACTATGAATAAGTTAAATTAAATCTTCCGTTGCAATGGAATGATTTAATTGCTTAATTTTTTTGTTTCTATTTTTACAAAGAATTGTTTGAAACTTTTTTTTTTAACTTGACTAACTAATCAGAGCTTTTTTTTAACTTGACTAATCAATGATTAAAAATTACTATGCTTAAATAGAATACTTCTTTTTTTAAACAATTTTTGTTTGCAATGTTTTAGAAAAAAAAATGTTTATACAATTTAAAAATAATATACATACAGAGGTGGAAAGTAACGAATTACATTTACTCACGTTACTGTGAGTAGTTATTTTGTGAATTTCTACTTTTTAAGTATTTTTTTAAATGTGTACTTTCACTTTTACTTAAGTATTTTTTTTCTAAAGTATTGTACTTTGCTATATTTGAAATCATATGCGCTACTGAGTAAAAAAATTTATTATGTATTGTTTAATTTAACATATACTATGATTTAATTTTTTTTAGTTGATAAAAAACATGTTTTATGACTTTGTTCTTTATAGTTTTCTTTAATGTTTTAAATGAAGTCATGAAGAAATCAGACACATGCACCGCTGCCGTTTCAAATTTATAATTGTTCTTTAATCGTTCTGATTAGAATTTTAGTAAAAAGTTGAAATCGAAGTTTTACTATGTTTACATTTTGAAAAATTAAACTAGGTACAAATGTAAACATAGTAAATTACAAGTACTATAAAAGACATGAAAACAAGAAGCTGTTTTTTTCAATTAATTATATAATTATGGTTATTTATATAATTATGCCTTATTTTATCAAGATTCTAAGAAATAACATACTTTAACTGATGAAATGAATATTATATAATAACATATTTGAATATTATATAATAACATATTTTAAAATCATTTATTTTGTATTATTAAACGCAGACTTAAAAATATCAGTTAAATGTAATAGTTCTAAATATATATAGTTTTTTTTTTTTTTTTACTTGAGTTTTGCTCACTTTAATCAATTCAATCAATGACACTTTAAATAAAAAAAAAATTGCTGAGCGTGCTCTTAAGGACTTTTAACTGCTTTAGCTTGGTTTCTTTTCACTTTTTATGACCGTAAAAAAAAATTTCAGTGCAAAAAAAAACTTGTTTGTTTTCTGTCGATTTGAAGTAACGAGTAAAGAAATAATAGAGTTGGACAAATCAAATGCAAACCCAGCTGAATTGAAATTGCAACCAACTTCTATTGAAGCAAACCCATGGCTGTATTTAAGCGTCCACTTTGACTTCAAGTGTAAGAAAGGCAACAGCTTTATCATGCAGTGTAAACTGTGTTTGCCTAAGTTGACTAAAATATAAAAACAGCATATAAAAACTCTTCTTCCAACCTTTGCAAGCATGTTTAGGTAATTTAATATTAATTGTATACTTTTATAATACTTTAATACTTTTAACTCCGAATAATATTTGGTGTTAAAAGATTTCATGCAAACATTTTAAGTTTACCTTTTTAAATTAATATGACATTTGTTAAAATAATGACAAATATTTTTTTAAAGAGAAAACATCCATCAAAGATAAAGGTCTTCAGTGACTTTGTGACAACAAGGAAGCAAAACTTGAAACCACAAGAAATCCCAGCAAAGCAAGGAAAAATAAATGACATGTTTGCTATGGGTACAAACAAACTCTTGTCACAGGAGAAGGTTGACACAGGAAAAGGTTGACAAGCTCATGATCCAATTTATTTGTGACGGTCTTCATCTATTTTCTTTGGTTGAACAACCTGCTTTTAAAAAACATTTACATGCACTAAATCCGCATTACAAAGTTATATCCAGACTGTCTCTTCGGATCAGAATTGATGATGCTGCCATTCAGTTAAAGAAGATTTTGCTCTCAATCCTCAGCCAGGTATGTTGCAACAACTACTGATTGCTGATAAGTCAGGTATGTTGCAACAACTACTGATTGCTGGTCTGCACACCAGCAAAGTTTCATAGGGGTGACAGCTCATTGGATTGATGAGGAAACCTTGGAAAGGAGATCTGCTGCACTTGCTTGCCAGAGATTGAGAGGGTCACATACTTTTGATATCTTGGCAAGCACTCTTGATGACATTCATAGGTGGAACTCGACATACATGGCTGTGGAGAGAATCTTAAGGATCATACAAGAAAAAGGCCCCGATGCTATCCGAAACGTGTGTGAAGAATTCAAAGTAAAAATGTGAGTTTATATTATTTAATCAGTGTAATTAAATAAGTATAAAATAATGCTAATTGAAAAAATTACTTAAAGTTCCTTTTCTCATATTTTTTAAATATTTATTCCACACCTCTTCTTGCAAGAAATGTTTATAAATTTGCATTCCTTGTGGGACCTACAGGTTGAATCCAGTTAAAATTGTTTTCCTGACGAAATATTGCGCTTGTATGAAACCTGTTGTTAAAGCAATGGAGATTCTTCAGTCTGAGACTAACACACACATGGGATGGCTCCTGCCAGTGATCTTTCAGTTACAAAAAAAATTCAGCTGCCTTGAGACATCCTCCAAATGTGTGTGTCCCTTGTTAAAGAAATTCAGGATGGTGTCCAAAAACGTTTTGGTAGAATGATGCAAGACCTAGTGCTGATTGCTGCAGCAATTCTTCTGCCAAAGTTCAAGAACACCTGGACTGATAGGACTGAAATTATAGAAGCAGGTATGGTTTCCTTTTTTTTTTTTTTGTCATAGTGTAATCTGTTTTGTCTACTTTTTTACTTCTTAATCAACCATTGTTATTTAAGTACAGTAAAATGAATCTTTGCATTGCTAATAGTATAATATGTATTATTTTGTTTGTAAACAGGTCTGGTCTATGTGAGACAACACATTGATCGGATGGCTGAAGTGGAGCAGGTTGAGCAACATTCATAAGATGAAGAAGATTTCTTCTCATCAATGAAATCAATAAGATCGCAAGGTACAGGGGAGGTTGATGGATACCTTCCTTGCAGTTTTAAACAAAATGGATTTGTTGAACTCATTTCCATGCATCAAAAACCTTTCTCTTAAACTGAACACTGGTCTTCCTGCCTCTGCTGCCTGTGAGCATCTATTTAGCGGTGCAGGACTCTTATTCACTGCAAAGCGGGCAAGAATAAAATCCGCCAACTTTAAAAACCAACTGCTTCTCAAACTTAACAAAAAGTTTATAGTTTAAATTTATACAGTAAAGAATAGATTTTTTTAAATGATATTTTTGTTTTTTTATTTGACAGCTTTGTTGTTTGACAAGCTGTTAAAAAAGTAACGCAGTAACTTTTACTTTGAGTACATTTTTAATTAGCTACTTTTTACTTTTACTTGAGTAAACTTTTTGACCGGTAACTTTTACTTGTATTTGAGTAAAATTTCACTAAAGTAACAGTACTTTTACTTGAGTACACTTTTTTTTTACTTTTTCCACCTCTGTATACATATAACAGTTTTTAATAATTTAAATAAAATTTGTTCATTCATTAAACAAACATTATAAGTAATTTGAAAAGCATTTTGCATAACTCATTATTGCATATTTTTTTTTGCATTTATTTTTTTGCATAATTGTTTCAAAATAAAAGTTCTAAAGTAATTTATTTAGAGCTTCCAAAACCGGACCAAAAATTAAATACTGGTTTTTCGGTATTAGATTTATAAATACCGGTATTAATACCGGTATTTATAAATATTCCAAAAAATATTAATAAAAAGAAGTAACAAAATAAACGGTTCCGAAACTTTATTATTTAAGTTAAACTAATATATGAAATTAATTCATTTCGAAAAAAAAAAAAAAAAAAAAAAAAAATTATTTATTATTGAAATAGGCCAGCAAAAAACATTAAAAATATTTAAAACTTCTTCATATAAAGATTATCAAATTTTCGTACATAACATTCCCAATGAAGAGAAAGCCCACTCAGTTTCTACGCTCGTTGGGGAAATAGTTAAAATATAATCGTTTACCAACTTTAAGTTGGTACCACATGTACCTTCTTCCTCAAATTTAAAAATTTCTTTTCGTATTATTTTAGTCAAATCGTTAATATTTCGATTTGTTTTTGGTACAATTTTTATTTTTATCTTATTATTTATGGCCATGTCTTGCTGCTTCTGAAATGTCAAGTTCAAAGGTTTGTCTTTGCGCATTATGGTATCTTTGTCATAATATGTTTTGGATGGCAATGCTGTAGTTTCAGCTTGGAAGGATAAGTGCCGCTGGATAAGATGGACAATTAAATTTACCAAAGCAGTTTTAGTTAGCCGATCAAATATAATATCTGAACCAAAATATTTTGGGTTTGATCACTTTTATAAAGAAATTACATAAGATAAGATAAATTTGTGTGCCTTTCTTATATTATTTTAAATAAGGAGGCCTTTATATTGTTATTTAATGCCTTAGCCCGAATTTGCAGCATAAATGCCAAGGTAGTATTAGCTGATAGAAGATTAGAATCTCTCCAATATAAAGCCTCTACAGCCAGTTTCACTGGTAGGAACATAAAAACTGTTGATAATATCAATTCCAATTCAGATTCCGTAAAGTTGATAGCTGAAATTAAGTCAATCAAGGCTTTTTGAATGGAATTTTTAATTTATAAAAATGCTTTAGCATAAAAAGTAAGCTGTTCCATCTGGTTTTATTCTCTAATGTTACTGACAGTTCTTTACTATGTTCAGTGTTTACATAAACATGAATGATTTAATTTTTTGTCGGTGATTGTCTGAACAGCTTTACAACTTTTCTAACTTTGCTTATCAATAGAGCCAAATTATTTGCAAGTTCACTTGCATTTGATAAGCTCTAAAAAATCCTTAATCCGTCTAAATGATGAACATTAATTGTCAACTTTCTTCATAACCGATGCACCATCCATGGTAATATGTTATTGCAATCAATTTTTAAGTTGTGTTCTTTCAGTAGGTTTTCAATTAACTTAACACACATTTCTGCTGGTAAATATTCATTAACTTGTCCTAAACCCAAATTCCAAAATTTGTTTTAAGAATGAACAATAATGTTCAAATAACGTCTATTTTTTACAAAAGTCCTCTCGTCAAATGTAAGACTAAATCGGTTTCCTTGCTGTTGAAGTTTGGATAATTCTTTTATTATCGAGTTTTGAATTTTAGTAGTATATTTCATAACTATTTGGCAAATGGATTTGGATGCTTTTGACATGTCGAGATCTCAAGCAATAAGCAAGTTTTTTTATTAGATGTTATAAAAACCTTGAATGGCAAGCCATCGGTTGCCGTCATTTTAGTTAAAACATTTGGCTCAAAATAAGTTGAAATTTTATTTGATATTTTCGCGCTAATAACTTTCTAAAAGTATCCATGTCCAAACTCGCACGAAGTCTCATTAAACAATTTCTGTCCGATAAGAAAAATAACTGAAATACCGGTATATACTGGTATTGAGACCTCGGTATCGGTAATAGAAAAACTGCTGGTATACCGCTATACCGGTTTTTGGAATACCGGTATTGAATGCCCTAAATTTATTTTAAACATAATTAAAAATGTAACAAAAAATAATTTTTGCTTCGAATTTAAGTTTTTTTTTTTATTTTAGTGCTTAAATATTTTCTTATATATTATATATATATATATATATATATATATATATATATATATATATATATATATATATATATATATATATATATATATATATATATATATATATATATATATATATATATATATATGTATGTATATATATATATATATATATGTGTGTGTATATATATATATATATATTTATATATGTATGTATATATATATATATATATATATATATATATATATATATATATATATATATATATATATATATATATATATATATATATATATATATATAACACACAACAATATATAAAGATAATAAAATAGTCTTTTTTTTTTCAAACATATTAAATAGAACATAAGAAAAAAAAAGATTTTTTTTTTTGAAAATTGTTTAATATGTTAATTATGTATATTATTTATATGTAAATTATGTATATTATTTAATTTCGAACAAAAAAAAATTCTTTTCTTATATGAGCAGAAAGGCTATTTATGAGCAGAAAGGCTTATATGAGCAGAAAGGCTACCTATGAAGATCATATAAAAGTAGTGCATTTTCACCAGGAAGGTAAAACCATTCATGAAATTGGATAAATAATAAAACAATCACATAGTTCCGTGCTAACCATCATCAAAAGATTCAGAGAGAAAAAATCTTATGTTGATCACCATCATTCTGGAAGACCGCGTTTGATGACACCAAATGATGATGGTCTTTTAATCAGGTTGGCAAAGAAAAATCGAAACATGTCATAGCATGAATTAAGGGAATGGAAACTTTCAAATGGACGTCAAGCATCGGCATCACTTGTGCGTAGGCAACAATATGCTATGGAAAAAAACTGTTCTAAAACTGCGACTTACCAAACAACATATAAAAAAGCAAAAAGAATTTTGCAAAAGTGTCAAAGAATGGTATAAAGAAAGATGGAGAACAGTAATGTTCAGTGATGAGATGAATATTGAGGTTGATGACAGAAAAAACCGAATTATGATTTGCAGGCAGCCTTCAGAAAAATATATCTCAATTGTATTGTTCAAAGAACAAAACAAGGTACCGGGTTGGTTAGAATATGGTGCTGCATGACATTTTATGGTCTCAGTATGTTTAAATTATTTGATGGTCTGCGCAACTTTATTTATTACAACGATATTTTAAATAAACTTGTTACCATCAATTGATGCACTTGAGCAAAGCGTTCCATTCATTTTTCAGCAAGACAATGCACCATGTCACAGGGCTAAAATTGTCTCTGAATGGTTGGAAAGCAAAAATATTGAGCGTCTAACTTGGCCACCAAATAGCCCAGATCTAAATTGCATTGAAAATCTTTGGAGTTGGCTTGATAAAGAGATTGCCAAGAAAGCACCAAGGAGCCTTGAGGAGTTGTGCAATATTTTATCAATCATACTTGAAAATATTCCAATATTTGATTTTTTAATTTTTTGCAATATAAAATTACTTTCTTTTTTTTTATTTCTTAATTACCCATGCAGTTTTGATGTTTCAAGTTTGTGTTTAGTTTTTCTTTTTCTTGCTGCATTCTCTTGATTACTCCCTGTTTTATCAAGGCTTATGAAGTCCTTTTTTTGTTTTATCTCAGTCTGTGTGCAAATCTCAGTTTGTGTGCAAATCTCAGTTTGTGTGCAAATCTCAATTTGTGTGCAAATCTCAGTTTGTGTGCAAATCTCAGTTTGTGTGCAAATCTTAGTTTGTGTGCAAATCTCAGTTTGTGTGCAAATCTCAGTTTGTGTGCAAATCTCAGTTTGTGTGCAAATCTCAGTTTGTGTGCAAATCTCAGTTTGTGTGACTAGGACTAGTTTTAGTTTTTGACCAATCAAAAACTTCTTCGTTCAACTAGAATTATTTTTGAAATATTTTTCCAACCCAAACATTCTAAATAATTTTGGGTTTGCGTTATTTGTTGTCCAACATTTTTCTTATTAGCTGATCATCTGATATCATCATCACTGAGAATCATCTGATCATGTGATATCAATGATCTGAGGATCATCTGTAGAACATGAATCAAAAAATTTATAAAATTATAATGAATATTAATGAAATTAATATGAATATTTTATGCAAAAATAAAGCAATAATGAAAAATTGTTAGTATATTTGAATGCATAATTGTATTTTTTAAACTTTTAAAAAATATCTAATTTATGTATATAAAATGCTTCATATTTAAATATGTAATAATACACTTAGTATAAACTTTTATTTACTTAATGTAATTAAAATATGTAATTATATTTATACTTTTATCTAAAAACATAAAAATGTGAAAAATGTTACATATAAAATATATGCAACATTACTTGGGATGGTTTGGTTTAGTGTAGCTAAAATTAACCAACTTATTTCTTTCTATAAATATGTGACATTTAAAAAGTCTAACACTTTTATTTGAACTAAAAAGTTCAACTAAAAGGTTGACTAATTTTAGTTAAATTGAAATTTTAGCCAAACAATTTTAGTTGCAGTGCTTTTTAGTAAAGGTGTACCAGATATTTTTGCCAGATATACCGGATAATGAACTTTTCTCAAGTTCTATAAATGTTTATAAAGTAAAAACAAGTTTGCTATTCTACATTAAATAGTGTTCAAGATTTAAAAAAATAAAATCAATAAAAAACTTGTATAACACAGATATATGCATTAGTAATGTATAAAGAAAAATCGTTTTTATAGCCAAATTTTTTTTTTAAATTACTATTTTCTATACTTCGTCAGCACATTTACTATGTCATACAGTTTTTCACTGATTTTAAAAGTAAGATCTTGAATACTATTTATTGACTGGCAAGACTTGTTTTTTCTTCATAAACACTTATAGAACTTTAGAAAAGTTTACTATCCGGCATATGTGGCAAAAATATCCGGTACACCTCTATTTTTTAGTAAAGTTGAACAAGTTGTTGTTTTTGTCTTAACTTTAAGCATGAGATTTTCAAACTTGATGATGTCATACTCAAATAGAGATAAGTGAAAAAAAGAATGTTTATTTATTTTAGAGTATAAGGTGGTGGTAAACTGGGGACAAAATTTAGTCAGTCGCTCAACAGAACAAAAAGAACTTTCATTGAGAACGTACTGTGAACGAAGAGCTTATGATATTATAATTATAAATCAATTAGACATTTTTTTTGATGAAAAAAATCTTGGTAAGTTTAAAGATATCTTGAATATTAATTAATATTATTATTACTGTTAAATAAAATATTATAGTATTAAATCAATATTACCATACTGTTGTTGTTATATAACTATATTTAAAAAAATTAGGATTTTAAAATAGTTTATCAAATTAAATAATTTGTTCTAAAAAAATTATAGTTGATTTTGCGTATTTATTCTTAGGGGATCTACCTGCTCTAGATTTTTCTCGACATTGCAATGGGAGATTTCCTGGCATATATCCTACGTATCTAAAGTGTGATGAAATTGCGTTAGATATTGAGGCATGTCAAGCAGCAGGAAAAAAGATTTTACTCTCGCTAGGTGGTGGAATTCATTGGAATGGATTTGTTAATCTTGAGCAAGCAAAACTCTTTGCTCATAACATTTGGAACCTATTTTTAGGAGGTCAATATAAAATAAGAACCTTTGGGAGGTAATGGAATATAATAATGATTAGATAGTTAATGCAGAATTAACAATAATATAAGAAAGTAATTAATAATAGTAATATAGATAAAATATAAGTAAATTAAACATATAGTTCAAGTTAAATGCTTTTAGGTATATTAGATATTTTTTTCTATTTTTTATTGTTTTGCATACATTTAATGGAAAATATGTTGTTTTAAGTGTTGTGTTGGATGGAATTAATTTAAACTTTCGTATTGGAAGTGGCGCATGGTTTACAGAATTTGTAACAGAACTGAGAAATTTAATGGCATTCGATACTTCACATGTTTATATGATAACATCTTCACCAGGTTGTTCTTTTCCGAACTATCGACTAGGAAAAACATTTGAAGAAGTTGGGGAGATGTTTGATGCTTTATTTGTTAAATTTGCGGACAACCGGTGTTATTATGGTACAGATGGTTTTAAGACTCTTTTACAAAAATGGTTGATGTTAAAGCCAGTTATTTATATAGGTTTGCCTTCTTCCCCACAAAGTTCTTATGATAAAGTGCATTTTGTTCCTCCAAAAGAAGTAGAAAAACTATTTGAGGTAGTTCATGTTTTATTGGTTTGTGACAAACTGAACTTACAAAACCATTTTAGTTTTTAAGTACAATAATTTTTTTTAAAAAAGTACTCAAAAATTTGTATATAAAGTTTAAATAGTTCAAGTTTTAATTTGAAAACTCCTCAGATTTGTAAAAGTTTTCAAATAAAATCTTTTCAATTTATCTAGGAGTACATAGTAAAAAATGTTAAGGTGACTGGAATTTTTCTTGATGATGTAAGTTGGGATGATTTAAATTTAATTGATGAAAGGCGATACAGTGACTATGTTGGTGAGCTATTACGTCCATATGTATATCAAGGAGTAATGACAACAATGCCTAGCAAAAATGAAGGTAAATTTTTATTGTTCCAGAAGTTTTTTCAGATAAAATTAATTTAATAGGTCTTTAATATTAGTATTAATCGTCAAATAGTAGTATATGTGTCAATATATGTGTGTGTATATATATATACAGTCAGGGTTGCAAAAAAACCAAAAACCATGGTTTTTTTGGTTTAAATTAGGTTGTTACTAAAAAATGAGGTATTTAGTTATCCTTTTAAATTAAAAAAGGCATATTGTATTTTATTTGAGTAAACTATATTCTTTATCAATATTATTGTTATATTTCATCAAAATTATTTAATATATCATTGTTTAATGTTCTATATATAAATACAAGCTGCTTTTTCTACCCCCAATCTGTTTCTTAACTTAAAATGAATAAGACCAAAAGTTGAAAAATTCTTTTGATTCCAGCACTAGAAACTGGTGCATTTAATAAACCTTCAATTTCCATTATGTTATAGTAGATTTGGTTTTTAATTTGAATATTATTGGTAACAAATTCTTGAACATTTTATCTGCGAAATTCATGGCAGCTTCATTTTCATTTTCAGAAAGATTATTTCCAAAATATGTAGGATCTAGTGTGTTTGCCAGGAAATGAGCATCACTGACAGTCTGAAAGTATCTAGATTCAATTTTTTTTTTTTTTCCTTTGATAAAAACAATAAACTGTTCATCAAATCTTAAAAATTTCAAGAGTAACTTATTTTTATTTGATCTCTTTGCAACTTATCTAGAGCTACTGCAATTGGTTTCAATATTTTCAATAAATCTTCTGTGTTTCGCTTTATCTGTATATCACTTACTTTTTTACCAATCACGGGATCCAAGTCTTTATTTTTTTCAAACATTGTAAAAATAATGCTCCAGTTGTTGACATATTTTTCATGTGAATCACATACAGAATTCCAGTGAGTTTCAATAGGAAGTAACAATTTTGTTCCTTCGCTTAATTTATAAATTACTCCAGCTTGATGATTATTTCTTATATATTTTATTATTTGTGTAACATGCTTGCTCACATTTTCAATGTTAAGATCATTTGCTAAAAGAATCAGCATATGAGCAGCACAACCATAAGTTATGATAATATCTCTTTCAGATGACAATACTTGTCTTATTGATTTCACATTAGCTGCATTGTCAGTCACAAAGCTTTTTACTGTGCATCCAAATTTACATCTTACAAAATCTATTGCTTCTCTTGCTAATTGTGTAAGATTCACCAGTATGTGAATGACCAGAAGTGTTGATTGTTTCTACTAAAATGTTAATTTTATCTATAATTACAGAGATACAAACTATAGGTTCATTATGTACATTACTCCAGCCATCTAAAGACATGGCTACAATTTTCCCATTCAATACATTACACTTTTCAATTTCTTCTGTGTAAACCCTATCTAATATTTCTCCTCCAATTTCAGTTCTATTAGGTAGAGTGTATCCTGGATGAAGCATATTGATAAATTAAAAAAAAAAAAAAAAAACAAAAATCATGGATTTAAAAAAATATATCTATATTAAAGATTAGTTATATTTGTGAGCATAACCCTGTCTTAGTTTCCTGTTTTAAGTTCAATTCTTTTTAAAAAAACATTAGTTTGGTTTAAACCAACATTTTTTAAATTGGTTTAAACCATGGTTTAAACTAATGGTTTAAACCATTTGGTTAAAACCATGCAACCCTGTATACAATGTTTCAAAAATTTATCCGACCAAACAAGTTTTTCCCAAAAAAAAATGTTTACGCTCTAAATTATACTAAAAACAATAAATAACGATACTTTGTCTGTCATTTTAATTCTATTGGGAATAGTATGTTATTTAGCGTTCATATTTTTTGATTCATGCTTCAGTTGGTTTATTATTTGTCCTAAAAGAAACTTAGTATTGAATAGACTTGTAAAAAAATTATCCGACTAGGCAATATTAAGGTAAGTTTAATTAATTTTATGTGAAATTTGTTGAAATATTTTAGTAAATTTTTATACAATTAATGAAATTGCATAACATTGCATAAAAACATTGCAATTGCATAAAAAACTGTTTTTTTGTTGTAAAAAAAAAGTTTTGTATAAAAAAAAGGTTTTATGTTTTTTTAAGTAAAATGGTTGAAGGTAAATGCCACTGGACTGTTTCTCAGAGAAATTTAACTGTCGATCTAGTCAATCAGGGTAAAACCTATTGTCAGGTGTAGCATGAGACTGGAATTCCTCATAATACATGGGAGAAACAAACTCTAACCTAAATATCCCCTACTTTGGGTCTCTTAGTTAAGTAAAGGCTAGAGATGGGGTCTTAATAAAAATACTTATCTTGGTTAGATGTTAACTGCATCCAGCTACTGTCTTGTAAAAGGTTTCCTAGACAAAAACTAGATTAAGCAGAATAATTCTGTTGACCAGCCTCGATTCCCTACTTTATCTGTTAGGCTCGTGTAGATGTCAACTTGTGTTACATTGTTTTGCCCAGGATGCTGAATGATGGATCTTTTTGACACTACTCATAAGTTTTTTCTTGTGCCTCTTTGATAGTGGTTATGTTATCTCCTAATGAGGTATGGCTCTAAAACTATGGCTCCCTATGTGCCACTGTCAAGGCCATATAAGGAGCCCTACGTTTCTTCTTTGGTTTAATTGTATGAATAAGTCAAGTTCTTGTTAAACTTTAATCATGCCCCAAGTAACCCAAAATATTGAACATAAAAAACCATTCTCACCACCTAACTCTTTTAGTACATCATTTACAAATATTTGTGGTCTTTGAAGTAACCTTCCATCAGTTGAAATTTACCAGACTTGCTTGCTCTTTGTGAGACTAATTTAAATTAGGCTGTAACATCAAATTTCAGCAGTGGTGGGTACTATCCTTTAAATTGCAAAGACTCTAATAGTCATATGGTTGGTTTGGGGGTATATTTATGTATCGATTCACCTATTTATCAAGAAATCAAGTTTAAATCCTTTGACCATTCGTATATATACTTCCGGTTAGCACCTCTTCACTCTATCACCTTTCTCTTTGTTTTTCATTGATCTCATTCGGGATTGATCATTCTTCTTCTTTTCAAGACTGTACTCTTTTAGACTTTACTCTTTTTTATTTTTTGATCAAATTGACCATGGCCTTTCTCTTTACCCCTCTGCCAATATTATTGTTATTGGCTACTTTAATGCTTATTACACTGAACGGCAGATGTCTTTTCTCTCTCCACTGATAAATGTCTCCTACATAATCTCCTAGATCTAGGTAGGAATGAAAATTTCTTCTTGTCAGATTTAAGTCAAGTCTCCTTCTACTCCATGGTTTTAACCTTCTTGTGCAGCTGCTATATCTAATCGTAATCATTTTTTTCATCTTTTCAACTAACACTTCTTATTGCAAGAAAAAAAACAACATCTTTTTGCTATTGCAATAAAATGAATGTAAAAAGATGCTGTCTTATGCTAAGCTCCATTATTCTCAGTTATTCTCAATTAATCTTGTATCTAATATAAAAAGATGTCTTATGCTAAGCTCCATTATTCTCAGTTCACTAAAACAGCATCATTTATAAAGGTAAGTCTAACATTCCATCTCTAATTCATTGGACTAATTTTTTTACCTCTCCCAAGGATAAGGCAGAAAACTTTTCTTTCAATTTGAATAAGGCAAAAAACTTTTCTTTTAATTTGACTCTTGAATCTTATGGTCGTACTCTTCCTTTAGTTTCAACTAAACAGATTAGGCTGTTGTTAGGCATTTAAATCGCTTCAGCTTCTGTTGCTAGTCATATCTCAAGTTATATCTCAATTAAACTCTTTTATGGCTTGTGGCCCAGACAACATCCTGTCATAGTCTAACAAAAGCATTCTTCAGAACTCTCTTCAATTCTCACTAAACTATTTAACAAGTACTTGACTAAATCTTATTTTCCTGCCTCCTGGAAAATGGCATCTGTGGTTTCATTTTTTAAAAACTCTGGAGAACATTCTAACCCCTCCAACTATCGTCAGATCAGTCTTCTAACTGTTATTAGGTCTTTGAGTTTTTGATCAACAAATTTTTAGCCTCTCTCCTATTGTCGTAAAGTTGCATCTCTTTCTCTTTTCTACTAATCTATTATGATCGCTGCTGAAAAGAGCTATTATCTCTAGTTTCATCAGCAAGACGCTCTTGCTTGACTCGTTATTCAGCAAAATTCCATCCTTTTACTGTATCTGCCTTTTCATGCTCTTAAAATTCTCTCTTATCTTCATGTTTTCCCGACACATAAAATCTACAACTTTTCAAATCTTCTATTAATCATTTCCTTGGTCTTTAACTCTATTTATAATTTGATTTTTTTTTTCCAGACAAACTATCTTATCTTAAAACCAAAGATTTTAAATTTTGACACGTCGGTCCATATTACAGTCATTGATGGTCCATTTTTTTATGTAGTTTTGCCCACTTCAGTATTTTTATTATTCTTATGATTTTTATTAAAGAATTTTGATATCATATCTAATAGCATATCTAATATGGCAAAAATAAAGCTCATAAACTATAGATTTTAATCATCCTAAGTTACAATAAAAATACTCAAATAAAAGTAAAGGCTAATGATTTTTGTGGTTATGAATTTAGTTCTTTATGGTTTAAAAACAAGTTGTGTATAAATATGTTAAATTTATTATTTAGAGTAAATCATGAATCAATAATATAAAAATTCTAAAAGATCACGGGTAAGAAACATCAGAGAAACGCAAAAAAAAAATTAAAAGCCATCTTATCCTTGACAAATGACCACTTCCAATAGAAAAATCTTGTTCATTTGAAGCACTTTCAAAGATTCCAAAATCTATTGAATCCTACAATATTTCTGTCTGCACTCTTAATGCAGAAACACTGTGGACTTTAAAGGTTGTCGTATCACTATTCACTTAGATCATGTACTGGTTTGAGTGAGTTGTTTAAAGTTATGTTTACAGATAGCTAAGTTGTAAAAGGTTTTTTATTGAGTAGAACAAAATATGGCTA